CTGTGTACAATCTCAATCTCTTCACCATCCATCCTGATGCTGCCAATTGGTCCAGTGGTGAGAATCTTTGTCTTCTTGATTGAGCCTCAATCCATATTGTAGGCTGCAGTCCTTGACACTCTGCAGCAGATTCTTCTGTAGTCTTCCTTATTAATTTTCCTACTTTCAGATGCATAGGAAGCAATACCATGGCTTGGATCAAGTGCACCTTACTCTTAGAGCTGACATTGCTGCTCTTTAGAGCTTTAAGAAAGTCTTTAACAGCAGATTTTCCCAAAGCAGTAAATCTTTTTATTTCTTGGCCACTGCCCCCGTAAGAGTTCATCATAGATCCAAGTAAAATGAAATTATTGGCAAGTTCTATCTTTTCTCCAACTAGTACAATGTCACCTATTGGTCAAGTGGTGAAGATTTTTTTCTTGATGTGGAGATGTAATCCATACTGAAGTACATTAACACAATCAAATGTTCTGGGATTCTCATTCTTCTCAAGCCATAATTTATTATGATTCATACAGTCAAATGCCTTTGCATAGTCAATAAAACACAGTAAATATCTTTCTGGTGTTCTCTGCTTCAGCCAAAATATCCCTCATTCCATGACCTCTTCTGAATAGGCTTGAATTTCTGGAAGTTCCTTGTATAATGTTTGAGCCATTTAAAAAAATAATCAAGATTTTATTTGCATATAATATTGTTCAATAAGTTCCACATTCTGTTGTCATTTCTTAAAACATAGTAACAAATATGACTCTTCTCAATTAGTTGGCCAGGTAACTGTCTTCCAAATTCCTTGACATAGGCTAATGAGCGTGCTGAGGGCTGCATTTTTTTTGTAAAACATGTCAACTGGTATTCCAATTCTTGGGACTTTACTCCTTTTCCACTATCTTCAGTAGAGCCACCTCCTTTGGCTGGGGCCCTTCCCTCTTACTGGGTACCCTTACTCCACATATTCCATGGTCCATTTGTCCACACTTGGACATGTCAGATTGGCAGTGACTGCTGGCTATCTCTGACTGGATAACCACCCTGTACCCATCCCCTGTACTGGCAAAGGTACCATTTCCATCCAGTCAGGCTGACTTGTCTAGGTTCCTCTGATGTCAGCAGGAACTGTCTTAGGTTGACACATTCTTTTTTTTTTTTTTCTCATTCACTTTATTTATTTCTTAAGTTAGAGAGTATACATGAGTCCAGCCAGAACAGAGCAGGCATACGGCTGGACCTGTTGCTGTGTCACGCTTTTCACATTGCATTTCAGCTGCAGTAACACTATTCTGGAAGGAATCCACCCGAGTCAAAGCTGTTTAGAGAAGGGCTGGAGAGGCAGTTTCCCAAAGATTCTTGGTTCTTTTTAAAAGCAACCTCTTGATGCAAGGAGTGGTTCCCAGGCCCAGAAGAGGAAGAGTGGCTAGAGGTGGGGGCTGGGCTGGGTGTTAAAGTTCACTTCAGAGAGGAACCCACTTGCCACAGCTCATGGAACATCAAAGTGACTGTCCCCCTTGGACAAGAGCCAGCCCCCACGTCTCATGGAACATCAAAGTGACTGTCCCCCTTGGACAAGAATCAGCCCCAGCTGGTAGCAAGATCCCCGCAGTTCAGGGCGGTCTGAGATTTTGAGTCTGGGTTTGCTGCTCTTGGTCCAAGTCATGCCCTCCAGTCACCAGCACCAAAGTGTCCTAAGAACTAGCTCCACAATCTCTCCATGCTGAAGTGAAGTCCACGTGGCACTGTGTCATGTCCAAGCATCCAAGGGAAATGCACTCAAATCCACAGTGATGGGAAAGAGTTGGAGACCCACCATGGTCGAGGGGCACCCCATCAGCCTGTCCGTCATTAGCTCCCTCCAGTCCTGCCGCCGCTCTTCCCAGAAAAGCAAGGCTGGCACCCGGGTCAGCACCATGCAGGAGTCAGCACACATGATGGACGGGTGAGTAACAAAGTTTTCCAAATACTTTTACCCCATAATAAAATAATTTTAATAAAAACATAATTTAAAGGAAGTGTCCAAAGCTGAGTGTAAAATCAAAGTTGTAAACGCTATCAAAGTTTGATGGTTCTTTGGAAGAATCATCCTTACCAGATTCAGTCATGATTTATTGATGGGAATTTCAATTCCGTGATTTCGGAGTCAGGGGAGCTGCTTCCACTCTTGCCACTGTAGGTGTCTCTGGGCGAGAGCCGGCAGCCTTTCTGCAGGTAATGTGGCAGCCTTCCTACAGAGGCCAGGAGGAGGCCAAAGTAGGGCGGGGAAGGCTTGATGGGCCTGGACAGGAACTCAGGGTGGTACTGAACCCCAACAAAGAATGGATGATCTTCCAGCTCCACAATTTCCATTCTCTCTCCTTCAACATCTTGGCCAACAAACTTCAAGCCTTGCTCTTCCAAACATTTTTTCAAAACTGGATTCACCTCAAATCTGTGGCGGTGCCTCTCCTCCAAGAACTCCGGATCTCCATAGAGTTTTCTCATGACCAAGTTATTGGTCTGGAACAGGGTTCTCCTCTTGCCCAGCCTCATGGTTCCACCCATCTGCCCGGGATTGTGTTCTGGCATGTCTATGACCAGAGGGTGGCTTGTCTTGGGGTCAAACTCTTGTCGAATTGGCATCTTGCCACGCCAGCACATTTCTTGAGAATTCCACCATGGCCAGGTGCATTCCTAAGCACACACCCAAAAAAGGCTTTTTCTGTTTCCAAGCCCAGCTGATTGTGTGGATTTTTCCTTCTGTTCCTCGAACACCAAACCCTCCAGGCACCAGGACACCATGCGCAGCTTCTGCCAGGCTTCATGGTAGCAGATGGGCTCTTCCTGCAAGGTGCTGGGATCCAGGTCTGTCGAATCTATGTACTTGATCTCCCATTTGTGGTTGATGGCCAGTGCAGAGTGCTCCAGAGCCTTAATGACAGAGGTGTAGGAGTCGGGGAACTTCATGTATTTGCCCACAAGGGCAATGGAGCAGGTCTCCAGGAAGCGGTCGTACCAGTCAGCCATCTCTTTCCATTTCATCAGCATTTTTTGTGGCTGCCTCTCAATAGGGAGATCAAGCCTTCGAAGAAAATAATCTACAACTCCTTGTTCTTCTAATAATAAGGGGACTCAGTATGTGGATGAGACATCCTGGACACAGATGACTTGCTCAGGTTCAACGTGGCAGAACATTGATATTTTCTCTTTCACTGATGTGTCAAGAGGGTTTGAACACCTGCATACAACCAGATCTGGAGAAAGCCCAAGCCCTTGGAGCTCCCGGACACTATTCTGAGTGGGTTTAGTCTTCTGTTCCCCTGTTGAGGGCCTAGACTAACTTGAATATTACAAAAGTTCTCTCTTTTAACCTTGAACTGGAACTGACGGAAAGCCTCAATAAAGGGCATGCTTTCTATATTTCCCACTGTCCCACCTAGCTCAATGACACACACTTGAGGTTCCAAGCCGTCTTCATCGACCAGGATTAGGATTAGCACCTGTCTCATCACCCACTCCTGGATTGCATCTGTGATGTGAGGCACAACTTGGACAGTCTTCCCCAAGTAGTTGCCTTTGCGTTCCTTGTTAATGGTGTGCTGGTATATCTCCCCAGTGGTCAGATTGTTGTCCTTGGTGAGGCGGATGTCAAGGAAACGCTCATAGTTACCCAGGTCAAGATCTACTTTTCCACCATCATCCAGCACAAAAACTTCCCCATGCTCATAAGGGGAGAATGTCCCTGCATCAATATTAATGTATGGGTCAATTTTCATTGACGTTACATGCAAACCACATGACTTCAGAATTGTGCCCACACTGCTGGCAAGGACTCCTTTCCCATTTCCGGATATAACACCACCAGTAACAAGGATGTACTTCATCTTAATTTCTGACCTGACACTGGCTTCAAATCAGCTAAAGAACTAAGTCGACAAAACCCGCAGCAAGTGACCCGGAGCCTGTGAGCAACCCGGCCGCATGCGCCCAGCAGTCTTTCATGGAGGCGGGCTCCAGGCGGTGCGCACGCAGAGGACCGCCCCGGGGGCGGGGCCCGGAGAAGGCCAACACATTCTTGAAACATCCTAGACCAGAGGAGGTACCAGTCACATCCTGGGGCTTCAGACACCACTCAAACGGGCAGAAACTTTGGTCTGACTAGTCACTCCAAGTCCAGTCTTCTCCTGCACTGGCAGATACACGGTCACAGGCAAAACTGTATTATTATTTCCCATAATATGTATGCTGGTTTTGTTTTGGTGTTTTTTTTTTTTAACAGATTTATTGAGCTGTATGTTAGTACAGACGCTGGGTTTTGCCCATAGTGCTTTTGATGTACAAAGCCCAAACATTCTGCCAATTCTTCTTTAGCAGTGAAACCAGAAAGGTGACAGCCAGCTGGATGTTGTAAACAAGTTCATTTGTCACCTTCACATGGCCAACAGCCACTGCCAGACACAGGACCTTTTTCATCTGGAATTTGATGGTGGACTTCACCTCCTTTACTTTTTGCCACCATGTTCTCACTGTGGACCAGCAGAGAAGGGAACTTGTCAGCCTTATTTAGCCCTGGACCTAGGATTCTTGGAATCTGCTTGATCAGGGATTCAGAGGCCAAAAAGGCATTACTTCTTGGACCAGCTTCTTATTCTTGTTTTTTCAGCACTTGAATGTCCATGTGAGGGATATCTACAGCCTTGGCTTCATCACAGTGCTGCTGGTCCTAAAAAACACACACCGAGAACTTGGGGCATGGAGTAGACTTAAGCCTAATGTTCCCCTAGATGTGCTTGTCCTTCTGAGGGTCATAGTTCTTCAAACTGATCTGCAGCTCCAACTCCAAAAACTTTCTGCATTTGCACTGGTTCCCATGTAGGACTTCCCACATCGCCTTGTAAAGGGCGTCGTGAGAGACTGCTGCTCATGGTTCTCAGTGCCGCAGTAACCAGAAAAGCGCATATGCTGGTTTTAAGGTGTCATATCAGCAATGAGTTTATGATGAGGAATGTGGCATCAGGATTGGAGGAAGGTTCATTAACAACTTACATTATGCAAATGGCACAACCTTGCTTGCAGAAGCTGAGGAGGACCTGAAGCATCTGCTGCAGAAGGTCAAAGATTGTAGTCTTCAATATGGATTGAAGCTGAACATCAAGACGACAAAGATTCTCACCACTTAGCCAACTGGCAGCACCATGACAGATGAAGAGACTGAATTTGTTAAAAATTTCAGCTGGCTAGGCTCCACAATCAACACTTTTGGCACCAGCAGTCAGGATATCAAAAGACAAACTGCACTGGAAAAATATGCTGGCAGGGACCCCTCTGGAGTGCTGAAGAGCAACAATGTCAGTCTAAAGTGTGCCTGATCCAGGCCATGGTCTTTGCAACTTTTTTGCTATGCATCAAAGAGCTAGACAATGACTAAAGATGACAGAAAAGCCAATACCTTTGAGTTGTGGGGCTGGAGAAGAGTATTGAACATAATATGGACTACCAACAGAACAGGTTTGTCCTTGTGGGCAAGGATTTTGATGCTCTAGCTCACACACTTTGGGCACACTGCCAGGAGGGATTGGTCCTTGAAGGAGGACATCATGCTTGGAAGGGAGGAACATCACAGGAGAGAAAGACCCTGGATGAGATGGACTGGCAGTATCTGGGATAATTGGGGGGAGAGGGGGGCTAGGAGTGTTAGAGACTGGTTCAGGATAGGTCAGTCAGGGTTCAGGCCTATTTTGCACAGGGTCACTGCAAGTTGACTTGATGGCACATAACAATAACCAGTGAATATTGTTTGATAATTCCTACATTCTTCTCATCACTTTTTATTTAAATCTAGATCTTTTGGCCAAATCTAGATCAGTTGGCCAAGTAGCTATTTCTAAAATTTCCTAGCACAGGCTAGTGGGCACAATCAGGGTTGCATCTGTTTGCTGAAATGGCTCATTTGGCATTTCATCAATTGCTGCACCTTATTTTTTGCTAATGCTTTCAATGCAGCTTTAACTTTTGTTACCATGGTTCTTGAACATATGCTCCTTCCTGAAATAGTTCAGTGCAGAACAATTCTGTTTGGTACTGTGAGTCTGTGTACTCTTCCCATTGTCTTTTGATGCTGCCTCTATCATTCAAGATTTTACTCTTGGAATCCTTCAGTATTGCAACTTGTGGTTTGAATTTATTCAGTTCTTTTAGCTTGAGGGATGCGCAGTGTGGTCTTCCTTTTGGTTTTCTAACTCCAGTTGTGTGTTTTGTGACCTGGCTCACACCTTGGAGCCTGGATCACTACACAGGTGAGCAGAAACTGACCTGATCAGGTACTCCACCTCTTCTCTTCCACTCAGCTGACCCACAAGGCCGGACAGCTTTCTATTTCTCAAAGCGTGTTTACTTGTTTTATAATATTCGTATACTTAGTTTGCTCTTCTGAGTACAGCTGCTGTTTGCTCCTTGTCTCTGTACTTGACTTGCATGTGATTCTGGACGCTATGACACTAGTTCCAAATACCATGGGTGGACAGGTTTCAGTGGCCCTTCCAGACTAAGGAGGACTGGGACTGAACCAAACAGGCCTTAGAAAACCATTAAGACTTTGATGTCTATTATTTTATTGTCTGCTGCAAAGAAGGAACTTGGCCTTGGACTCTGCACACTGTATACTGTCAGCAACTAAATGTAAATGGCCTTGAGTGCACGAGTGGGCTCCATGGTTTGGAACAAGGTTTCTTGACTGGAAGGGGGTAACGAACAGATTGCAGGTGATGATTGCACAAGAGCATGAGCTCATAGCACAGTGTTCATCTTTGGGGAAGGACACGTCTGCAGGCTATGGCCTAAGGGTCTACACAGTCTTGGTGAGATGTTGACCATGGCCTACAAGCAGCAGAAGTGGCCTTTGCCCTCCTTAGACCAGCAGGAGTCTTAGTGGTAGGCCCAAAATTTGGGGCCTCAATTTCGGGCTGGCCCTGACTAGGGAAGAACCTGGGCAGGCAGCATCTCTTTCATTGCTGTGTTAACAAAAGTCTGATGAGCTAGGTTACCTGTACAACTTGGGACTTAGGGGGCCGGTAAAGGACCTTGAGGGTGTGACCTATGATTACGCATCCTGCCTGGCACTGCCAGGGTGGGACCTTCCAAAAATGGGAGCAGATACTCCAGTCTGGTCTCGGAGATGGAAAGTCATCAGCCCCTTGGGCCCAGGACTCAGTGCCTATAGGACAAGGGAGCAGCAGTCTTGTCACAGCCATCCAGGAAGGGCAGGGATGCTGAGTGCCTTCAGCCAGGCCAGTATCAACTCCAAAGAGTCAGTTCTTGGGATGCTGGAGGTTGGAAGCCTCAGTGGAAATAATTCTGCCTCCTCTGCTATCACCCTAAACTCCTCACAGCACCAGTAAGTTCCAGTGTCCATGTGCTGGGGTCTCAGGTGTTAACAAAAGCAAGAGCAAACCCATAGCAGTGCTAATACTCTGCTCCAGGCCACCTCATTTTGCCTCTTGTCAAAATGACCTCTTCAAGTTTTCAGAACCCTTCCAGCTGTCTAATTCTTATTTGTGGTGCTAAACAGTTTATAAACTTTTGCTCTAAAATACCATTTTTAGGAAGACCAGTTTAAGAATTAAACTTGGGACCGGAATTATTCAGGGTCTTGCTAGAGCTGTGAAGTTAAGAGTCCTGACACCAAAGCCAGTGCAGCCCAGGAAACTAGTGATGGAAGCACCTGAAGGCTTGTGTTCAAAAGCCCACTTTGCCCAGACAGCTGGCTGAGCTTTCAAACATCTTTACATTTTTCTTCCTCTTTGATGACAAAGTGATCCCTTGCTGTCATGGATTGTTTCTTCTCCAAAAATACATACAGAACAGGATATAATGATCCTCAATTATCTGGTAAGCCAAACAGTTTTAAGAGGGCTTCCCTAGGGTGTGGTCTATAACATCTATAATTCTCAAGTGAGGGAGCAAAATGGGGCTACCTAGAACCATCAAAAATTTCCAGGAGTGTGCATCCTTTGGACCCAGGTCCCTGGACTGGGAAGCTTCTCCACGGATGGGAAGGCCAGGCTTACAGAGGAAAAAAAACAAGGGCCTTCTAAAGCTGGTGTCCAGAACCTAAGCTAACCACCTAAACTGTGACAGAATTTGCTAAAAATACTCATTTGTGGCATTCGTTATAGCAGCACTGGAGAACTGAAATTTGCTGAGAGGAACCCACTGCTTGATATGCATGAATGCTCAACCAGCCACTTCAGACAAGCTCAGCAGAGACAATTCCATTTTCCGAATGACTAACTGAAACCAATATGGGCTGAAGCAAGGATGCTATTTCTTTCTGGTTCATAGAAAAGCAATGAGCTAACTCAATCTGTCTCCACAGCTCCCCAGAGTATGTCTCCCACTCCCACCCAGTCCAAAGTTCCTGAAGGTCTCAACTACTGCAACAGTATCATTTTTATTAAATAGCAAAGAGCTGTCCAATTTCTGGGAAATGGGTACTCTGTACAGTTCTCAGTAAGTATCAGTCCTAGGCCGGAATCTCAGCTTCTAGATCACTGTCTGAATGACTCTTGGGGTTACTCAACTTTGGGGATTAATTCACTCAGCCTAATTTCTCTGTAACGCTGGGATAGGGTTGCTGAGTTGTCGCCTAGGGAAGAAGTACAGGTGGTACCTGGACCTATGCTAGCATCGAGCAGCTATTAACTATACTCAGTCAGTATCCTATTCACTTAGCAGCTGAGAGTCAAAGAGGCTGCAGCCATCCCTGTTGGCCTTATAACTCTCAATGACCCATGGAGACAGACAGGTCAGCCACCATGTTGTCCAGAGGTGGTGTAAGAGCTGAATGCTATCTCAAGGATGAACCCTCCTCCGGTCTTCAGGAACAAAGACAATGGAAATGGAAGTGAAGAGCTGGGGGAAGACTGGGTGTGATGAAGCCAGGCAGGATGGGCAGCACACAATACAGAGCACAAAGGTGGGGGCTGAAGAGGTGAGAAGTAGCAGAGGAAGTTCCTGGTACCCAGGATGCAGCATGAGGCCCCGTGTTCCTGGGAAGTGGGACCTCCCCACTGAATAGCAAATAGGCCCCAGCACATGCAGATGTAAAACACTTGCTCACAAAAACTCAGTCCCCGGAGCCCAGCAGTCAGAAGACAGGGGTGGCAAGAAATGCCAAGCGTGCGTTTCCAAGCTGGCATCTTGAGGATTCCAAGTCCCAAGAAGCAGGGCTGAAGAGGGCTGGGCTGGTCATTATCCTTCCAGGAGGGTCAGCCCATGTCCACAGCTCCTGCCTTGGGCAGAGAGCAACTGTGCACAGAAGCCACTGCCAGTGGATTTGATTTCCAAGTGTGGAACAGGCTTTGGCAGAAGGGCCCTGATGTGGGTCAAGGCTTGCGGGGGAGGGTGCCTACCTGAGAGAAAAGACTGGGGTAGGGGGGTCCTGAGTGGTGGAGACCACAACCAGTCAGGTGCCCCGCAATCGGTGGCCTGCTGCAGGGCCTATCACATGATTCCAAGGCCTTTTACTTCACAGCTAGGCAGCTGTTTCCTCATCTGGCTCCTCCCACTTTACCACAAACACTTCAATGTCTGGCTCCTCCTTAATAATCTTCCCAATTGTTCCTCGCTCTGGCTGGGGCCCTTGCTCCTCCTTGGTGCCCTGACCCCTTCTCACAGACTGCCTGGTCGCTGTAGCTGGGGCTGCCACCAGGGCTCCAGATGCCCCCAGCACTGCACCGGCCGGGGTCTTGGGCACCTTGTTGTGGATTTTCTCATGCTGAAGCATGTTGGAGCGCAGGCTGAAACTTTTTCCACAAACGGAGCAGGAGTAGGGCCGGATGCCAAGGTGGATGCGCTGGTGGGCGCTGAGATGCGAGCTGTGGTTGAAGTTCTTCCCGCACTCAAGGCAGTGGTAGGGCTTCTCGCCCGTGTGGATGCGGTTGTGCGCAATGAGGATAGAGCGATGACTAAAGCCTTTGCCACACTCAGGGCACGGGTAGGGCATGTCACCAGTGTGAATGCGCTGGTGGGTGACCAAAGCTGACTTCTGCGTGAAGCACTTGCTGCAGACGGAGCACTTGTGGGGCTTGATGCCAGTGTGGATGGCCTGATGGGTGTTGAGGTCCGACCGGCGGGCGAAGCGCTTGGCGCAGTGGTTGCAGGCATAGGGCTTCTCACCCGTGTGGATGCGCTCGTGCTCAATCAGGGTCGAGTGGCGGGTGAAGCTCTTGCCGCACAGTGGGCAGGAGTAGGGCCGGATGCCACGGTGGGTGCGCTGGTGGGCATTGAGGTGGGAGCTGTGGTTGAAGCGCTTGCCACAGTCGGGGCAGCCATAGGGCTTTTCGCCTGTGTGGATGCGCCGGTGCGCATTGAAATTGGAACGATCATTGAAGCACTTGCCACACTGCTCGCACTTATGGGTCTTCTTACTGCTAGTGCCGCTGTTACTATGACTATTGGTCTCGCCCTCACTGGCACGGCGCCGCTCACTGCCAGAGACTGAGAGAACATGATTCTCTAGTCTAGGTTTCTCAGGGATTCTACCCTCCTGGGTCTCTGGAAGGCTGGTGGCGGATGAGGCTGCCTTCAGCTGTCCCTGCTCCAAAGGCTCGTGTGACAAATTGTCCTCAGCATGTCCTGAGCCCTGGCTGCTGGTGGCTGACTGCTCACACTGCAGGGTGCCCTCCAGGGCTGTCCCCTGCTGGGTTCGGAAGGGCTTCATATCCCCCATGGCAGCTGGACGCAGGGCCTCCTTCTCGACTTCTAAAGAAAGAGGGTATTCAGTGAGGAAGGCTTTAAGGAAACAAAGCTAAGAGGGGCACTGGTTCTGAGAGATGAGGGGTCCCAGAAGAGAGCACCACTCTCTACAGTCATGCCCAGGACAGCATAAGGAAAGGCATGTCCTCACCCAGCAAAAAGTAGACTGGAAGCCCAGCGGGGTGAGGGTGTCCCCCGTAGGCCCCAAGCCTCACCGGTGCACAGGATCACCTTCTCCTCCTCCTCTTCCTCATCTCCCATCTGGTGTCCAGAGCCGGAGGCCTCACCCTTTCCCTGCACTTGGGAAGTCAAGCAAGGCTTGTTGAAGGGAAACCCTGGCCAGAAGGAGACACGGGACTCAGCCACACAACTCCTGGGGCTGCCCAGCACCTGACACCACTCACTGAGAAGTGGTGGTGAAGGCAGAGGGGGGCTGCAGGTTGGGGTCCTGGGCTGTATTAACCACACCAACCCCACTACTCTCCAGTTGGATCTGATCCTCCATCTGGTTTTCTTGAGTGCTATATTCTTTATAGGAAGAGACTGCTCAACCTACTCCTGGTCAAGGTGCTGGTAGAGATGATCTACCAACCTAACACACCACATGCTGTTACCACCCGAGCTCCATGGGGTAAAGTAGATGCATCAAGTCACTTCCAAGAAAATAGGCTGAGAGGTCAGTGGAACACTGGGGAAAGGCCAGGACTTGTGGAGCCAGGCCCCCAAGGGACACCGGTCAAAGGAATTAGGAGCAGAGACCTGCTCTATCCTACTCCAGGCATTCTACAAGAAACAAGTTGATTTAGAGCACCTGTGAAGCCACTGGGGAACTCTGAATGGGTGCTAAGACTCTCCAGTCTCCAAGGACTTGCTAGAATGTCAATAATGTGCCTGAGATAAAGGATGAGAGGGCCGGCTGGGATCAGGTGGACACACAGGACCACCATCCAACTCCAGCCTGGAGCTGCCAAGTCCCCTGGGTACCCCTGGCACAGCAGGTGACAACAGGCAGTGCTGAATGGATGAATGAATGGATGAACACACTCATACTCTGAGTAAGCTTCAAACTGTCCCAGGAAGACTAGAGCATGAAACTCAGCAGACGAGAGCCCTGAGGCTTAAAGACTCATCATCAGGTCAGTAAGAAGCCAAGGGCCCAAGAGGGGAGCAGAGAATCCAAGTGGCTGGGCCTGGGGCAAAGCTGAGACCATTCTCTGGCCAGGCCAAGCAGCCCCAGGCCTCAGGCTTCCTGCTCAAACCTACCCTCCTTCCCCTCCTTCAGGAGCTTCACGGAGGACCCTAAGACTCCAGGAGTAAGTCAGCAATGCCAGTGACTAAAGAGAAACCAACTCGTTGATTCTGACCAAGCAAGAATCTCTGGCCATGTGATGATGATGAAATGTGATTAAAAATGCACATTTTCAAAGCTCACCAGCCACACCTGGCCTGTAGCTACTGTATTAGCACTGATAAAGAACACTTTCATCAATCCAGAAAGTTCTACAAGAACAGCGTTATTTAGAGGACATGAGAAGGGAAGTGAGACACTAGCCAAGGCCACTCACCAAGGCCATTCTTCTTCTTCAGGGAGTCCCTGTAAAAGCGCTGCTGAGTGTGGTCCAGGCGGCCCCACTCCTCCCGGGAGAGGTACAGAGCCACATCCTCAAAGGTCACTGGCATCTGGGAAAAAAAAAAAAAGAGCAAGCTGGTCACTGTAGAAGCCATGCCACAGGGGCCGATGAAGTGACAAGATGGCACCAGATGGGCAGTAAGAGCCTGGACTCGAACCCGCTGCTGGATGAGGTTGCCTGCTGGATCTGCATCAGGGGGCGGTGAGCACCCGGGGATGGCCTTTCTCTGTGCGAGTTGTGTGTTGGAAGAACAAGGCAGCTGTGTAGAGCAGAAATGAGAGAACAAAGCTTCCTTCTTTAGGGCCACAGCTAAGGCCCAAGACACCCCCTCCCTGCCCATGTTCCTCCCCAGCAAGTCCTCAGGCTGGCGTGCAGACCCCGAGTCATGCTTGGAGAAGATGCTTGTTTGTCCTTGGTGTCTAGTCTGGCATAGACCCTGGACAGAGCCCTGGGGAGCAGCTTGGTTGGCCTGCAGTAGGTCCAGAGCAGGAATCCCAGCTCCCAGAGTATGCTGTAGATTAAGGGCTTTCCCATGACCCCCAGCAGAGCTGTGAGGCCAAGGCCTCAGCGTGAGCAGAGGAAGCCACTCACCTGGGACCAGGCGGTGAGGAGGGCCGAGGCTACATGCCGGTCTCTGGTTCTCCCCTCCCGGGAAGGGGCTGGGACCTGCAAGGAGGGGCGGGCTGGGGGAGCAGAGGGGTTTCAGGTAGCCAGCTCCTCTGCTGGGTTTTGCTACTCCCATAAGGCTCAACCCTGTCCTCCAGGCACCTCCACGGCTCAAGGATCTTCTCCTTTCCCTGAAGCTACAAAGTGGCCTCTGAAGCAGGGGTGCGAGGTGACTTGGAGGCTGTCTCTCCACACCTCAGCTGCTCTGCTCACCTGCTCTGCCCAACCAGGATAAGGTGTCTGTTCCTGAGCAGTCACTGCCCCTACTTGCCGCCTCCCCAGGAAACACCTTTTTGCCTGCCCACCCCTGCTCACCACCTCTGGGCTGCCTCCCCCTGCTCACATCTGCTGGGCAGAAGATTCTTCTTGGAGCCATGGCTCAGGGATGCCAACCGCCGCACACTTGGCGCCCCTTCCTCCTTCGATGTACCCCCAGGGTGGGGGTCATGCGGGTTAGTGTTGGGGTGAAGTGAATGTCGAGTGGCTCCCAAAGGCTCCTTCTCCTCTGAGTCAGAGGGCATTTCTTGAGGATGTTGGTGACCTGGAAGCTAGCAAAGGGAGCACTTCAGCATCTGGTGAAAAGTGGGCTGGCAGCAGGAGATGCAGGGTGTCAGAACACATGATGGGTTTAAATCACGTAGCTCTGGCTACACTGCAATCCCAATGGTACTGGTTTCTTCTCTCCATGACTCCCAGATAACTGGATCACCCCAGCAAGGATAGGGCAACAAGAAGGGGACAAAGATGGGTTGAGCCTGGCCATGTGCAAACACCAGGGGTTACTGTTATTTCTAAACCAAGAAAAACCCAACTGCCATCAAGTTAATCGCAACTCAAGGGGACCCGGTGTCAGAGTATAACTGCACCATTGGGTTTTCTTGGCTGTAATCTTATAGACTCAGATCACTCTTCTGTAGAGTTGATAAATGAGTTCATACAGCCAGCCTTGACCTGGGGATCTGGGGCAAACCTGTTTGTGCCACCTACTGAGATCTGTAGCGCAAGAGTTTAGGGCTATCTGTTGACTGTCTACGACCATACTTTAACCATGTAAGGATTTAATCTCAGGTGTACCTTGCCTCACTTGGTTTGGGGCACCAATTCTGGGAGGTTAGAGTCAGCAACATGTGGCCATGGGCCATTCTGGCCTGAATTAAATCTAGACAAAGCATGGGCAGTTTTCTGGTTTGAAGGTAACAGATTGAGGGTGGCTCCGCCTTCACACTCACCCTGGTCTGACAGCAGGAAAAAGCCCTCGTCACCCTTCCTCACGTCTCCTCCCACATCACAGACTTTTAATGTTTGTTCAGTATGTAAAACTCCTCAAGCTATACTTACAGCACATGTTTTTCTTTGTATGCACAGTAAAAGCTGTTAAAGCTGAAAACTGTATAAGGGGGAAACTAGTTAGGAAAAAAAAAAAACACCCTAGTATTTTCCACCAAAAGGAGCAGTACAAAAGTGACTTGGTAGCCTTGTTAAGTCTTTCACTGCATGTTATACTTCAAGAGGAAAAAAAAACCCAAACACAATGTGTTGCCACAGATCCCTGAAGATAGGGTATAGCAGTATCTTCCTGAAATCTGTAAACGTCAAAACACAACACGAAAAAAAACCCCACAAAACACATCAGCAGTCCCTCGTGGTTTCAGAGGCAAGTTCATGACCAAGTCTAGCTGACTAGCTGCAGGCAGGTCTGTATGCACCACACACATTATATTCCTTATATTTTTAGTTACACTACATGATACTTCTGAATGGCTATGTATTTTGTTTGAAAATGGTTGCTTTACTGAAAAAAGATAATATGAATGAGTGTGCAAATAAAAAAGGAATGGGCTTGAAAAACAGACACAAACATATTTGTATTCTGAGTTGCTGTCATGGACTGAACTGTGTTCCCAAAGTATATCTCGGCTGGACTTGGCCAACATTCCTAGTCTGACCGTTATGTACTGATGTAGTCATCCTCCATGATGTGATCAGCCATGTGAAGATTATTAGGGTGGAACGCAAGCGCCTTACTTGGGTGCGCAGGATTTAAACTTTCATGGGAAAGAGGCCCTCATCCTACATAAGAGAGAAGAGACTGAGTGGAGCTTGTCCTTTGGAACCAGGTTCCATAGCTGAGTAGCTTCTAGAATCAAGAGAAGACTGATGTCAAGACAGGTATTTTCTAAGGAATTCTCAGCCACAGATACTGAAAGGAGACAAAAATCTTCCCCCAGACAGAAAGCCTTCCCCCAGGGCTGGTACCCTGAATTTGGAAGTCTAACCCCATAAACTGTTAGAGAAGAGATTTTTTTTGTTTATGGCAGTCATGCATTTGTGGTATTTCTGTCACAGCAGCAGTACACAACTAAGACTGCTGCTTTGAAGTCAACTAACTCAAAAAAGCCAAGTGTGAACTGCTCTATAGGATCTTCAAGCCTGCGATTTTCTGGAAGCAGCCAGTCAGTCCTAAAACCATCCAAGGCGTCTGGGCATGGCTTGGAAACGCCGGTCCTTACAGTTAACAGAGAGTTCCGTTTTTGCCACCCAGACATCTAAGAGAAAAACACCTGTCACATTACATTCGCAGGGACCCAAAGCAAGACTTAACAATGTTTCTGCTTGCCGCCGCCTTGAGGTTCCTGACATGGAGGCGATTCAGCTTTTTAACTCATATTCCAGAGGTGCACTGGTTCCCAAATCGCTATACACTAAAAACACCTCACTTATTCTACTCAAGACACCATTCTCCTTCTCCCGCAACTGAGACGGCCAGGAACTCACCACAATCGCCGAGCAGGACCCAACAGAAACGCGGGTCTGGGCGGAGCCCAGTGTTCTGCCACCAGCAGCCGAGGGGGAGGTGGACAGTCAGCGGTCAGCGGTAACGCTCTGCCCAAAAAAAAGCGAAAAGGCAGGACGCAGCGACAACTCGCATTCCTCCGGGCACTTACCAGCGGTGTGCGCCCCTCCGGTCTCCTCCTCGAGACCCAGGCCCCAACCTGGAGAATGGCGAACGCCCACCAAGCGCGGCGCACGCGTGACCAGAGCCCGCGCCGGGACACTCAGAGCACAAAGTATCCTACGCGAGCCAAGTCTGTCGTCACTCCAGGCGCCGGAAGCCCGCGCAGGGATAGCTGGGAAACAACGCAGCGCACACGGACCCGCCAGGTTTGCGACCTTTCTCTCCGCGGAATCCTCGTCTCAGCCCGGAAGGTCGACCAATGAACGGAGAGAATTCCCGGGGCTGGCCAATCAAGAGGCAGCAGCAATAACACATCATTTCTCTGCACCGGGATGAAGAACCTGAGTCTTGATTCGCTGCGTCATCATACCCCCCCCCC